CAGGGGATTCTGCAGTACTATTCATTTTGCCTTTTTCTCTTCTTTTGCTCTTGGTCATTGTACTTCTGGTTAGCAAATTCTTCTTGGGGCAGGTTTCTTCTCACCCTCTCTCTTCTAGAGCCAGTAAAGAAGGAAATGGATACACTGAAAAAAAAAAAAGAGCCCTTGCTGCATCATCATGCACTTATTTATTAAAAACTCTTTCATGTATTCATTTGTCCATTCTTTTAGAAGATATTGTTTGAGTAATTACAGTGTCCTGGCAAAATAGCTGCAATGGCCAGATCTGAGCTGATCCAAAGCCAGGAGCCAGAATTTTCTTCTGGGTGTCTCATGTACGTGCAGTCTCAAGGCTTTGGGCCATCCTATATTGCTCTCTTGGGCCATAAACAAGGCTCTGGATGGGAGCAGATGGGACATAAATTTGTGCCCATATGGGATCCTGGCATTTGCACAGTGAGGATATGGCTATTGAGCCATCACACTAACCCAAACTGTATGTGTGTTGAGGACAAGTTCAATTGCTTTTGATGACTAGAGGTTCTCAGTAAGAGTTTATAAATGACCTTGATTCAGTTGTACACAGAGAACTTGCTGGTGAGAATTTTTAGGGAGGTGTTCTTCTCTTGCCTTCCCTCTTCCATGGGAAATAAGTGTCTCTGAAAGATGATATTAAGGTATCAGATATCTCTGATTGACAGGCACCTTTCTTCAAAGGTACATAACAGGCATTTAAGATATATAAAAGGCATTTAGGATTATTGATTAAAATGTGTTGTTAAGTTTTCCATTTTTTTTCTAAGTGTTTATTTCCCTGTAGGTTTGGGGGTATTAGGAGATAAATGATCAAAATTGAGAATGAAAAAACATGAGTTGATTCAGATGCTTTTGGGCTGGCAGATTGTCTTTGAAAAATTGTTTTCCTAGTCTGTAGGAGTAACAAAAGAACACTGAATTCCTGTTTCATGATCCAGAAGACAGAGATATCATTGTGTATTATTAGAATATAATGTAATGAAATTAATTCCATTAGTGTCTTCTAGATTTAAGGATTTGTATGATTTTTAAAGAAGAATTTTTTTTTTGAAAAGGCAGATTTACAGAGCGAAGGAGAGAAAGAAAGATCTTCCATTGGCTGGTTTACATCCCAAGTGGCTGCAAAGGCCAGAGCTGAGCTGATGTAGAGCCAGGAGCAGCCTCTAGGTATCCCACTCGGGTGCAGGATCCCAAGGCTTTTACCTGTCCATGACTGCCTTCCCAGGCCACAGTCAGGGAGCTGGATGGGAAGTGGAGCAGCTGGTCCTCGAACCAGCACCCATATGGCATCCTGGTGCACGCAAGGCCAGGATTTCAACCACTTGGCTACTATGCTGGGGCCAATTTTTTTTTCTTAAACATTTGTAAATATTTTGCAACAGCTTCGTGGAGCTGATTAAGAGCCTTTAGAAGCTATCAGGATGAAAGTAGTTTAATTCTGATGAAGGTCACTGACCTCCTGTGTAGCCATTGTCTGAACTTGTGATTCATGCATCCAAGGGACATGTCAGAGGGAATTCAATCACCACGGAAGTAGCCGAAGTATCACTGAAAGTGACAAATGATCAACTGCAGATTGGGAAAACATTAAATTGAGAACATTTGACTCAGGAGCTGCATAAAATATTAGACAAACTCCTATTTCTAGATTGAAATTGAACTCCTATTATTAATAGAAAATATGGGCAAAATTAAAAAAATTTAAAAATGTACCCATAATAAATGTGCTTACCAATTATTATTTCTTCCATTTGTCACATTCCTTGCAACATCTGAGAAGAATTGTGGAAAAGTTGCAGCGATGGGACTTTAAAGTAATGAGGCTCATAGAACTTTGTGATCAAAGGATAAACTACAAAGTATTTCTTTTTTGTCCTTGTAAACCACACTAAGTAATAACAACACAGAATCATTCTTACGATCAAAACCCAAAATAGGTATCAGCCTGTCATTTAGTTGTGTGTGTTTTGAAATTTTAAAACGAATTTAGCCAGTCGTCTCTCATACTTGCTTCATGCTTTAATCTCATTTTGAAGATAGATGTCCTTCAAAAATTATACAAGTTATCTGTAAACTCTTTTAGTCTGTATTTGTCCCAAAAGGAAAATCACTTGGGTTGTGGTTTCCTGCTCATTTGTTTGTAATTTACAGCAGAAACACTTTAATTTTTTTAGCTTAGTGAAATGTTACATGTTAAATGTTACATGTTTACACATTACATATAAAGCACATACAATTTTCTCATAATCATTGTTATTTTAATTCATTTTAATATACCAGTAGTAAATGTAAACTATAGAAAAGCTAAAGTTCTAAAATAGTCATCTGTAACACCACTTGCTCATAGACAATTGTTTATGTATGTGAGACATATCATTGATATTGTAAATACATCTGTATCATCTAAATATTTTACTTCAACGTCCATCCTGATTTTAATCATAATTTGTAAAGTTTCTCAGCTTGAGAGTTTAAAGGTGAAAATTGTGTTTCTTTTCTTTACAGAAAGAGAACATGTTGTCTGTTTTTCCTGTAGGGTTCTCATTTTTTGGGCTCATGGTGGGGTCCCTCTCCACTGCTTAGCGATGCAGTTTATCTTTCCAAGCGTGCAGAAGATTACGATCTTGCCCTTTGAGCCGTGATCAACGGTGTAGGTCAGTCTTCCTAGTAAAAGTTTTTGATTTTTTTATTTTTAGGTAGATAATAAGGATCAACTCACAAAGAACATCTTTAAAGAGCCTAATTAAGCAAAACGTTGTTATTATAGAGATATCAAAGGAAATCTTTTATTGAATTCATTTTGCTAACACATGTTGAGAAAATCCCAAACCCAAACAGAAGACAAACTGTGTGTGTAATCACTCTCTAATAGCATCCTGTTCCGAAAAGTCACTTTTCAGCAACTCTTATTCAAGAAAAATAACCTGAATCATAAAATTATATGTCTATATATAATATTATATAGACATAATGGGATGGGGAAAAAGTATATGATTTGTAGGGCACAGAGGCTGATATAGATCCAAATACCAAGAAATAGGTGAGTGTGACAGTATGTTGTCCCACCTACTGTCCCACTCCCTAAACATAGCAGCTCAATTGTCTGAGCCTCACCATGTTTCCTAGTGTCCACACCATAGAAGCTGGGGCTTAGGTTTGGGAACCAGAGCCCCAAGCCATGGGATGTACTTCTCTTCACTGATGTTCCAACTATCATGCTAGTTGTCCACACTATGAGAGCAACATGTTTAAATAAAACAAAAATCATGCTGAGGGTTTTGTTTCATAAAAATTCACAAAATTTTGAGATGGAGTATTGTTTCGAAATTCTTAAAGCTACTGTGAGATTGGTAACAATACATGGGTAATCTCCATGAGCTCATTGCTCTCCTTCAAGTACCACGAGTAAGAAAGTGAGTTTTGATGTATTCTTTCATGTATCAGGTTGGGACTTATCTCTGTCACAGAAAGGAAAACCAAAGAAGCCGGTGTTAGTAGTATGTGTTCCCAGGGAGGGAGTGTAGATCAGCCAGGCTCTGTTTAAAATTACAAAGGAAAAAATTGACCAGAAACAACTTTTGATCTTAAATTGATCCTAGTTCTACTCTACAAGTCAGATCACCTCCTCCATAGCTGGTCATGGGCAAGCACGTTCCTGCTCAACGACTCCGCTAGTGATGGATACAATACAGAACACAGCGGCAGGCATGAGTGAGGACAGCTTGTCATCTGAGAAGTTTTGTCATAATAATTGTACATATTAATTGGATATAATGTGATATTGAAATATATATAAAGAGAAGTATAGCCATCACATCTTTATATTGAAAACATTAAAAGTCCTCTTTAGTAGTTGTTTTGAAATCTACCTGTAACTGTTGTCAAACGTGCTTGATGGAAGTGTACTCTGCCTATGCAGCTTTACCAATTAGCTATTCTCTGTCCATTCTTCCTTCTCTCCATTCTCCAGCCTGTGGGAACAACTATTCTTTCATCTTCTGAGAATGGCTTCTTGGTTCATTCACAAATGAGTGAGGTCGTCTGATGCTTTGCCTTCTGTGCTTGGTTTGTTGAGTCATTCATGTCACTGCAAATATTTGTAGCGTCATTCTTTTTCATGGCTGCATAATATTCCGCTGCATCCATATGAATGTTATTTATATTTACTATATATAATTAATCCAACCATACTTGAAATGTAGTTTAGCAAGGTGCAATATGTTTTAGTATGCACATAAATGAGAATTTTCTGATCAGAGATTAACTTTAAAAATAGAAGTATATATACTACCTGCTCACATTTTTAAATTTGCTTTAACCTTTATAAAATAGAGCAGTCTCATTTTTTATATATACTCTTGTAAGTGAATATAAAATATATGTGTAAAGAGATGGGGAGATCTCCCATCTGTTATTATATTTCTCAAATACCTGCAACAGCCATGAGCGGACCAAACAACCCTGAGCCAGGAACACAAGTGGGTCTCCTTTATGGATTCCAGTGATTGAAGTATTTGAACTCCTACCTACTGCCTGTGTAAATGTGCATTAGCAGGAAGCCGGACTGGGAAGTGGAGGTAGAGCTCAAAATTGACACTCCTATATAGGCTGTAGGCTTGTCAACTAACCATCAAATGTTGCACTATAGGCTGGCCCCTTGCTTGTTAATACAAATGCAAAACTTTTTTTTTCCCACTTAGTAGCACCATTTGTCACAAACTAAGTCAAATTTATTGTAAGAATGCAAGCACAAATTTCAATTAATCTATACACGCAATTAGTAGGTAAAAACTAAGCTGACGATGTATTCCTTATTTTTTGTCATAAATGCATCTTGGTTGTCTGGTCATAAATACTTCTTTAAGATGATGAAATTCTTCTACCTAATCTTCATTGTGATCTTCATTGCCATACTGATTGTATTATTATTAAAAATTTATCTATGAAAATCACAAGAGAAAAATATGCTCGGTTTAGCAGCACTTACACTGTAATTGGGATGATACAGAGATTAGAACGGCCCCTGTGCAGAGATGACATGTAAATTCATGAAGCCGTCCATAATTGTCACATTGGAAATGAAGAACTGAAATGACCTATTTGCAGATGACATGATTCTCTACATAGGAGGACCAAAAGACTCAGTCAAGAGACTATTGGAAGCATAAGAGAATTTAGCAGAATAGCAGGATATAGGATTAATGAACACAAATCAGTGGCACTAGTGTTCACAAATAATTCTATGGTTGATAAATATGGACAGTAAAGTAGAAAAATATATACTAAAACTAATATATTAAATCTTAACCCTTATACAGGCAAAAAGAAATACAGGGAAGATATCCTGGAGGAAGCGATGCTAGTAAAAACTTCATAGCGAAGACATTCTTAGCAACACTTCCTGACACTTTAAAAGTACAAATGTTAAAATGTTGGAAGTTTATCCAAACTTAGAATCACAACAATTTGCCAAAGCACAGACATGGTGTTTCTTCTTAAAAGATTGATTTTCTTTGAAATTTTGTGTAACAAAAGGATTGCCATCTCTGGTTCAGGCCTCAAGTGGCCATAGGGACTGGGCCAGGGGGAGCACTTGGTGAGCCAGGGGGAGCACTTGGTGAGCCAGGGGGAGCACTTGGTGAGCGCTTTCTATCTACAAAGAAAGAAAACAAAAACTCCTTCAAGTTTCTAATGTTTTAAATTACACAGGACCACATGCATGTTGCTTGACTACTGGTTGTTCCTGTCCACATGGGAGTTTGTAATGTTTTAACAACTGTCAAGATTTGGGAACCATAGAAACTTTTCCCATTAATTATTGAGATTGCATGGTCACTTTCATTATTTAGCCCTACCATACCTAACATCTATTTTTCTCCTGCTGGTTTAGAAAGCATTGTACCAAAAATACTAAACTTGCTGGTTATTCGCTTTACCATAATGAACAGGAATTGGTGGATGAGTAGGAAGTTCAAAGCTTTCTGCTTCTTCTTCTAGTGTGACCACTGCTTGCCTCTTTACAATGACAAGCCTTTCCGCCAAGGCACTCAAGTCCATGCCTTCAACTGCAAGCCTTGTCAGTGCAACAGCCATGCCAGAAGCTGTCACTATGATGTCTCTGCAGATCCGTTTCCTTCAGAGCACCTGCGAGGGGGAGGAGGAGTTTGTGATGATTGTGAACATAACACTACAGGTAATGAACAGAAGATGAATTGCCGACTCGGCCCTTAAGGACTGTGTGCATCCATCTGCAATGCACAGTGTTTTAAATTATGTTGTTGCTAGGTACACTGGTTCACCAAATCTGCCTGGTTTCAGATAATTCGTTTTTAGAAGTAATGTGTTAACTGCAGCTTTTTGTTTTGTTAGCTTCCCCTTCCATCCCTTCCATCCCTTCCATCCCTTCCATCCCTTCCCCTGCTTTGGAGAGGCCCTAAACAGAACTGGACCAAGCTGAAGCAGGAAGCTGGTTAGTCCTTCTATGCCTTTAACAGAGATGGCAGGAATTCTACTGCTTGAAGCAGGATTGCTAGCTCCCAGGATCTGCACTAGCAGAATGCTGGAGTCAGGATCTTGAGCTGAGTATCCAACCCTGGCACTCCGACAGGGCATGTGGGATTGTGGTCAGCATCATAACCACCAAGCTAAATGCATGCCTGTACAGCCAGAGGAAATGTTTTTATTTATAATAACTGCTTCATTCCATTTGATAAAACTTTAAATATGTTTTTGGATGAGTCACAAGTGTCACCGTGACTAGTAATTTATCTTTAGGTTTCCTTATGTCACTCTTTTGCATTATGTTTAGATTCTGATATGGGCATGTTCTGTTTGTTTTGATTTGGTTAGATACTGGCAAATATGGGAATCCCTTGCTCAAAAATTCTAAATGAGAAGATGATATTCATTGCCCTGTTCTAAAAAATCACAAAGCATTTTAATCAGCCATCAAAAATTAATATTTTTTGAAAATCCTGTATGTTAAAAGTAGAAATAGGCAGCATCTTAATTTGTAAAATATAATGACCCAAGTCTAATGGGTTTGAAAGTGCTACTCTGAAGCATGAATTAATTTATTAGATGACTATTGATGACCTGAAATGTCATAATAACTTAACTAGGTCCTGGGGATATAAAGATGAATGTGATAATGATTTTTCCTGTCTTTGCATTATTGTATAGTGGAAAGAAGGTATAATTACTACTCAACGAATAATTCCAAACTTTTTTTTACTAGTATATCATGGAACTTGATAAGGCCACTACAGTGAAGTTAAGCAGATGAAGCAATGAGATGGACGAGAATTAGGAGGATCAACAAAAGTTTATTAATACAAGCATGTTGTGAAGTGTGCCAGAGCAGAGAGGAACATGGCACCTTTGGTGAAATGGTCAAAGGAAAAATGGCTTTGATTAACAACAAGAATTATGGAAAGCCAAGATAGTAGAGGTCTCTATAAGCCGTGGTGAATAATTTGGCTTCTGGCTATGACTCGGGAGAAATGATGTTGGGGTGCATGTCAGTATAACACAGGATAGAAGAGCGAGGATCAGAATGTAGGCAAGGAAGTCAAAGGACCCAGGCTAAGCTCTCATCTTCCTGCTTGAGCATAAGGTCCTGATTGGAGCCAGTCATTTGGAAAGGAAACAAAAGAGGATGCAACCAAGGACGAAATGCATGTTCTGTTTAGGACATATTGTGTACATCAAAGAGACACAGAGACCCTCATGTGGGCAGTTGGAACCACAGTTACAATTCTGCTTTCTTCAGTAAGAGCCTGTTGCACTTTTTCAGGAAAGATCTGAACCATCTTTTTAATTCAGTAGCTCCTCATGCTGATCATAGCTATGAATGCACATTTATTCCTGTTATTCTTTAATTTGGGTTCATCTTACTAGACCATCAGTTCTGTGAGAGTGATGAAATATGTGCTGTATATTTTGTTCACTGCTGAAGTCTTCAGGAATTAGTAATTTAGTATTATAGAGAGAAGGAGAGACAGAAAGATCTCCCATCATCTGGTTACTCCCCAGATGGCCTCAGCTGCTTGAAAGCAGGAGCTGGGAACTTCCTCCATGAAATCCATGTGGGGCATGGTCCCAAAATTTCAGTCCATCCTTGTCTGTTTTCCCAGCTCCTAAGCAGAAGTGGAGTAGCCGGGACAAGAACTGGTACCTATATGAGATCCCAGTACTTGCAAGGTGAGGATTCAGATATTGAGGAATTTCATTGCACTGGGCCCTGAATGTGAGAGGTTATATCTAGTATATCATAATGTTCTCATATTTAATTGGAAATTTGTTATTATCCAGTTTGCATTTTGATATTTGACCTGAAATATAATGGCTACTGATAGAAGTGTTTGCTTTTCAGTATGCATACTATAGAATGACCAATTGAATTAAGAGCAGTGTGCCATGATTTACTTCTGGAAAATATTTTTTAATCGTACATAACATACTTGCTTCCTGTTATACACCATCTACCTCACATATAAAAACTTTTCATGTTAGCTTTAGAATAAGTGTTTGGCCCATGAAGTAAAGCTTTTAGAAGCAAACTCTTAAAATCGATGGGTTCCTATAAGATATAGCTTTGCAGAAATGTGATATTATGTAACAGATGGGAGTTTAATGAAGTAGAGCACAGTTAGTAACAGGTTCATTGTTTCATATGCTCTGGATCACTAAATTGGCAGGTAGAGATGAAAGGTGCATTAAAATGGACATCCCCAAAATTATAGAATTCCCTCAAAGGAATACAGTCTTTAATTTTGAATTATGTGGTGGACTTTAATGAATTGGAAGTCATAATGCATAACCTTTCCTTGATACAGGAAAGAACTGTGAGCTGTGCAAGGATTACTTTTTTCGGCATGTTGGTGCAGATCCTTCGGCCACTGATGTTTGCAGACCCTGTGACTGTGATAAAGCTGGCACCAGAAACAGTAGTCTTCTTTGTGATCCGGTGAGTTCTTGTCGGTCCTGTGGGTGAAGACACAATCTCCCTTCGAGAAACTGATTTGGAGATAATGGTACCAGTAGAATTGAGGACTCCGGTTTCAGGAAGTCTTCTGTGTGTGATTGTATTTCAAATAAATATTACTTCAGGGGTGTGCCTATGCACCTGTTAGTATGAACATGAAAGTTTATGGTTACTTAGGTGGTCCTTTCCACATAGCAGTACTTAATTTCCTTCAACTTTACAAATGTCAGGGAAAAAACTTTGAGGGCGGGGGTTCCAAGTAAGCTGACATGTAAACTGAGTATAGTAAATTGAGTATAGCCTGGTAATTATTGGTGAGTTGATGTTAATAAATAAATAATAGCAGTTGTAAAAATTTCTACTGAACATAGTACAGCCAAATTTACTTTACATGTAGATTCAGTGGAAAACATGATAACCTGTTTCCAGCAAAAAATGGATACATAGGACTTCATTAAAATTAAAAACATTTTGTTTTAAAGTGATACCAGCATTAAACTGAAAAAAAGACAATACAAAGAGTGAAAGAAAATATGTATAGATTATACATCTAATGAAGAAATTCTCCTCTAGTAAGGAGAACACTAAAGATTCAATAATAAAATGGGAAGAGCCAATAATTGGTCAAGAATCAGTATGGATGTTCTCTAAGGAAGACACAGGAATAGTTGCTAGGTACCTGAAAAGAGACACAGTTTTACCACCCGTCACCAGAGAGGTGCAAGCCAACACCACAAAGGGCCATCACTTCACTCCTCAGCCATTCTCAGTGCTGAAAAATAGATAACAGCCAAAGAATCGGTGAGGCAGCAGAAAATGAGAACTCCCGAAGACCGTTGATGTGAGTGTGAAATATGCATTCACTTTGGAGAACCCTCTGGTCTTCCTCAAAATGTTTAGCTTCAGTTAAAACATGACCAAGAATTTTAACTCTTGGTTGTGTAACCTAATGAAGTACAAACATATTCTCAGAAAATCGTATACATATATCTGTCTTAGCCCCGTTATCCATAGTAGTCAAAATGTAGACATAGTCAAAATATCTATCAGGTGATGACTGGGTAAATCAGATCTGTAGCCAC